TAAACTCATTTTCTTAAATGAAATTTAATTATTATCTGCCATGCGTCTTTAAAATATAATTAATTTAATGACTTATAGAATGTATAATAATTTGATTGTGCAGCATAGTTAATGTGCATCATCATTCTTTTTATCATTATTCATTAGAATTAATGATTTAATCAGAGTTATCTAAGTATTTTAATCGTTCTATGTTATCTTTAAAAAATAACAAAAATATAACTCACTTTACTATAAGAAATTGACATACTTTGATTACTCAACATCTTCCTGGCAAGGATTGTTACTGTTCAAGTTTTCAAAGCTAAAGAAGTTTATTTTATTTTTAACTAGCCGCCTAAGGCGCCCAGCTGTCCGCCACGCTAAAGGTTTCCACAAATAAAGTTTTTTAAAACATAGCAGGAAATCTGAAGATTAGTGGACAATTAAAGTGTTCCTGTCCAGCAATTTTGTCTTCATATCCAGTTCTGCTGCAGATGTGTTATAGCTCTTGAGGATGTTTGAAATTATATAGCTACAACGCTTAAAAAAAAAAAAACTAAAATGCTAAATACATGAAAAGAACACGAAAACGAATAAATTTTTTATGGTATCAATTTCTATTTCTATATAATTTTTTATGGTATCAAATTCTATTTCTATATCTGTTACGTCAAGCACTCAGGTATTATAATTTGATCTAGTTGTGCTTGTATAATTTTGATCTAGTTGCGCTTTCTACGTCATTTTGTTAACATCGTTTGGTTTGTTATTTAACATCGTTTGGTTTGTTATTTCTAAGTTAACTTTCAAAAAATTGGCTGGCATCAGCATTTTTATTCTTTAAGTTGTTTATTTTTTCTTTTGGAATTCGTTCCTTTTTAGCGAAATGTTTTTCAACCTAATCGAATTCTTTGCCGACTGTTCTCTGTATATATAAAGAAAATAAAGTAAATATTTTTAAAGTGTTGTGAAAAGAATTTTTAGTTGTACAAAGTACTACAATATCGCTATAAAAATTATCGTCTTCGCTTAAGAAAAAAAAATAGAGCGTGGAAAGAAGAAGAAAAACTTATTATAACAATTATGAACAGCGACAAATATATCAAAGCGAAGCGTTCTATTTACGTATCGAATATGTTGCCACATTTTTAATACAAAAGTTAAACTTTTCTCCACTTTGATAAATGTAAACTAATGCGAACCTTACAATTAAATTATTAATTCCTTCGTATATTATTGGTTTAAGTTGTCGAAAATTAATATTTCAATTGTAAGGTTCGCATTAGCATACATTTATAAGAGTGGAGAAAAGTATATGCATTTTTTAATAGTTTCTTGAATATGGCTCTTTGAAGACGAAAAAGCATAGATTTTCTTACAAAATGACTGATAACTAAGAAACTAATCCAAATTTTTGAAAAATAAAAAAATGCTTCTTCATTATGTCAAAACACAATTATGTGCCGAGTTTCGTGCCTGGGCGAGGCTTCTGGGGCGATATATTGTGATTACAGACACACACGCACACACACACACACACAGCTGTGTTTATTATTATGCATAGATTTTTAATTTAATATTTCGCTTCAATGTCTTATAAATTGTTGGTTTTTAAAACTTGCTAGAATCTCCACCGATGTATATATACATACACAATAAAATGCAAAATAAAGAGATACAAAAAGAGAGGTTAAAGAAGAAAAAATGTATTTTCAAAGATAAAAAAAATTATTACTAAATAAATAGTTTTAAAATTTTTTTGAAAAAATTTTAAAAAAAAATTAAAAGCCGAAAATTAAAATAAGGAAATATTGTAGTCCCATCGTCAGCTCACACAATTATATCCGCAGGAAAATGTTTTCTAATCTTGTATTCATACAACCAGAACGAGATATATCAATGCAATAGTGTGAGAAGCATAAAAAAAAAATGAAACGAAAATAGAATTTGCTGAACAAAAAGAACAAAATAAAACATATCAAGCAAAAAGTAGAAAATTACAATTCCAGGAAAATGCAGAATGAAAAAACAAAATGTTTATATGAAGCGGGTTTGCGAACTCACATCTCTTTACACTTACCGGCATATTACAAAAAGGGTTTAAAATATTTTCGCAACAAGTTTGGCCAGATTACGAAATATCAAAACAAAAGTGTCGATAGAGGATAGTGGATTGTATTTTATTATGCTAAAGCTTATCTTTTATCTTATTGCATGACGATTTTCTTAAGATCAATAACAACCAAATTAGAAGCTAATTTGTATTCATTGTTCAGTTATATGCCCCTCGTGAATAAAGAAAATGCTTTTTTTTTTAAAAAAAAAGATGCTGTCATTGTAAATATTAAAAATAGTTTAATCTCAAGTTATTTTTCAGGGTTAGAGAAAAAAAGAATACCAAACTATCTTTTTAAAATCTTGAGATTCCAATTTATATTTTTCTAAAATGCAAACTGAATAATAGATTTAGTATCATTGCTTTCCACTAAATGCATATTCATTTCTTAACTTTATTAAGATTAAAGACTTCATAATTTAATTATCTCTGCATGTATGTATAGAGTTTGTAATTTACAACTAATTTGTCCACAGATTTCTTTCTTCTTTGTGGAACCTTTAAGAAAATTCTTCAAGAATCAAGTTAGCATTCTATGCATAGTTGGCTTATTAAAAGTAATTATTCATGAGCTATCCCTTCTTATCTATCTGCCGTAAATTTTCAGATCTTGTGAAACGATTCCTAATTGGGATGTTAATACGTAATATTTCTTCTTCATTCCTAAAGATATAATATAATTTTATTTTGATAAAATCACTTTGTACTCCTTTTATATCTGAATAAAAATGCCTAAAATGTTATACTTATTGGTTCGAGTAAGATTTGTTGTCATTGAAAATTAACAGATTAATTTCAAATCTATGTAATAGCCAAATGTACACACATACAAGTGCTGAAAAATATAAACATTACGCTTATGAGTAATTTTCTAAAATTGTATTGAATGACAAAAAAAGTGGAGATTCTAAATGCACATTATTTATACATTAATCTTGAAAAATATGAATGTAAAATACAAGGCATGTCTGAATGAATGTCCCATTTTTATAGGTGTTCTATGCAACATGCAATAAATGTATTATTTAAATACGTACTTACATAAACAGTAAGAAATTTCAATCTGAAATTACGGTAAAACTACTGTCAGTAGTTTATCCATCCGCTAAACCATACAGTCTATGGTTAGGAACATTTCTTTACCTTTACGGTTTTAAAACCGTATGCAGCTAGTAGGTTTCGCAGTGGACTGATCGTAACGACGCGGTTTCCAGGAGAACACCGAAGTTATGCATCACCGACTGCGGTCAGTATGCGGGTGGGGGACTATATTGATCAGCCTGAGTAGGGACAGAGGGTGTGAGGCATCTGTCCTCGTTAAACTGTTCTACTGTAAAGTGATCGACTTCGCTCGCAGGTCGTCGTGCTACCAAAGGAGAATAGCCATCCCCTCTACAGATGATCAAAATAGCGAGGGCGTATCTTCTGATCATCATCTGGTATATTTTCCCAGACAGTCGCAAATAGCCCATTGTGAAGTAAATAAAGTACCTACCTATCTGCAACTAGTAGAGTTAAAAAAACCATTATTACAAAAACTGTACGGTTTGTACACATTTACAATTAGCATGGTTTCTGAACCATAAAAATGAAACTTAAATTGAAATTTGGAGCTGTGTGGATTCTGCGCCCTCAGAGCTCCAATAAATGATTGAATGACATTTTCCATATTACTCCAGTGAGTGAACGATATTTTCATTTTATAATAGTTTAGGGTCCCCCATTGGAGAGTGCTGGCTATTAGAAACCAGCTTCTATTATTTCATGTATTAAAGGAATGAAAAAAATATTGTAATATCAAAGCTGTGATTCAAACCAGTGTTCAGTCGGTAATGAGAGTTAGTGATCAGCTCCTTCAGCTACAGTATATACCCAGCTATACGGAAAAAATAGCTTCATAAGGTGGGCCTAGTTAACACGGATGAAATTCTGGTTCTTAAACTGTATTAGGTAAAAACGATCAGCACACGTTTTTTACGTACGCTTAACAGTTTCTTAACATCATCTTTTCAGAGTTATCTGACTGTTTTGATTAAATATGGTAAAATAGCAATTAAATAAATTACTATTTAATAATTTTTATCGAGAAATTTCTAACAGATTACAGAGGCAATATAAGCAAGTTTTCAATGGTTACCAATGCTTTGCGTTGAAGATGTCAATCTAATTTTGATTTGTGTTTCCTCAAAACAAGACAGCTGAATAGTTGAGCTACTTCAATAACACGTAACCACAGTCACACATCTACAGCAGCCAATGCTCTTTTGTCTTCGCAACTACGATCCCCAGCTTTCACACTATGCGAATTTTTCTTGTATGAGTTCATAAGGGAGCATTCACATTGTATGCAATTGCTTAGACAGGCGTAAGAATGTTTAAGAACTACGTGAAGGGTAAACTTTCCGCACATACGTAAATCGCAATGAAGTATGACCGCATATACGTATCTCATGCAGTAAGAATGCTCCCTAAAAATTCCAGTGTATGTGCCTCCAGGGCTAACAGCTGTTATCACCAGTATACACGGGGTGCACAAAATTCCAGATTTGATGTATGCCGCATTTCAAAAGGCAAAAGGAGCGCATTTTAAACATTAGTCAGGATTACATTCTAAACTTGATTACATTACATCATCATGTATATACATTTTTATTTAATACATTTATTACACTTTGTGGAGTGAACCTGAGAAACTGAGGCATTCATTTTGATTTACCCTCCATTTACATGTAAAATGCAACGATTGTAATTGTATATGTACTTATGTAAAAATAAATGTAAAAATATGCAAATGTAAAAATATCTAAATGTACGCTAAATAAATATTTTAGTCTTTTTTTTCTTCTTTTGGCTTACGTTGAGAAATCTTAAAGCACTTTACATAAAAAAATCCATTTCTTACCATCTGCTGGAATTTTATCCCAAACAGTAGGGATATCCCAATCAGCTGCTCGTTTGCCCCACATGCTTCTAAGGTTGTTCCATTGAGTAGTTCTCTTGCTGCCATCGTCTTTGTCAGTTGTTCTCTTACCCCAGACATTGGACAAGTTATTCCAGCCTCGTTTACCCCACATGTTGTTGAGGTTGTTCCATCCACGCTTTCCCCAGACATTAGAAAGCTTGTTCCAGTCGCGTTTGCCCCAATAAGGAGGTATATCACCAGTTTCTCGTTTACCCCACATGTTGTTTAATTTGTTCCAGTCTCTTTTGCCCCACATGTTATTGAGGTTGTTCCAGCCTCGCTTGCCCCACATGCCACGCATTTCCGTCCACTCTCTCTTATCGTAATCTGCGTCATCTGGATTCAGAAGAGGGGCGATCACTGGGTCATTTAGATTTTCTATATCGACTGTAGATTGGCTGGCTTCTGATTTTGAAGTATTTTCTGGTACTCTGGGGCTACAGGAGGTTATGTATATCAATGAAAGTATGGATGCAAGAAGAAGGGAATTATGACACATCTTTACTAGACCTAGAAAAAGAAAATACGATGTGAGACAAAATTATTACTTTCTTAAATATATGACTAAAACCTTTATTAAAATTATAAACTTAAGTAAAAAAGTGCACTTAAGCATCACTATGTAATTCAACCTTTTCCTTGTAACAAAAATCTTTTTCAAGAAAATTATAAAATTATTAAGGTACTCTGAGAGTACCTTAATAATTTTACTAATCGTTTTTAAAAATTAGTTATTATTAACAGTAATATTAGTAATAATTTGTAAGTATTATTCCTTGTAATTATTAATTAGTAACTTACTATTATTAAAAAATAAATAAAACAAATAAAAGTAAATAAGAATGAACTAATTTTTAAGAGAAATATAAAATATCATTTATTATGAAATGTAAAAAATGTAAGCATAACTGAAAATATTATGACATTTTTTGCAATAAATATTGTCAGATCATTCATTAATACACTTATAATTTTTATAGTGTAAAAAAAGGCCCTGCTTGCCTAGTGGCTAAAGAATCGGACTCCAATCCGGAGGGACCAAGGTTTGATCCTCACCTCCGCTAAAACCCACTGAATACATGCAATATAAGTACTCGTAAATTCGTGGAACTGAAAAATCCTGTGGTCGGTCACAAAGCAGTACCATTAGTACAGGGATCTGAAGAAAGTTTACTTCCCCTTCAGATCTATGCCTAAATTGAGAAAGTGCTCTCACGAATGAGTGTTGCTTCTGTGTTTTTGTGTGGTTCTGAAGCAATAAGTACTTTCTCCCTAGTGGTGCTCTCTTGTAAAATTAAAGGCGTACCTTTCTGACAGTTTTTCGCAGAAGACCAATGGCTGGTGAGTTTAAATTGTTCAAATGTCATAAGAAACAACAACAACCCAATGTAAAAAGCCTCGTATGTTAGCACTTCTTTTTAATTGTAGCAGAGAAAAGAGGAAGTTATGGTTTACCAAATATTGGTTCTGTGCAAAAGAAGAGTGCAGTGGCTCTTTTTTTTATCAACTTTATTTTCATGTTTTTACAATATAAATATGATTTGTACATCGGAAGAAAGATCACACTAATGTTAAATTTTATAAATATTTTAGTTGTTGAGGGATTAACAAGGACTTTTATAACCAAAATCGTAATCCACTTTATAAGAGAAAAAATAACGTAAAGTATATTTATATATTTTTTTCAAAATTTAAGGTATTTAGGTATATTTTATTAAGTATGTAACTGATGTTAAGTATACCTGTTGGCATGTTATTAGTGGATTTTAGAAGAGAAATTCAAATCATTTATTAGCTAAAAAATCCCAAGAATAAGTCAATGTCGAATATTGAGACGGATTATTGTGTAGATTATGCAAATTTTCGAGATAAAAGTAAGATGAATTAATTTAAAAAAAATCGACAATGTTAAGGCTGACCTTGTAAACTTTGCAAGTATTTTTTTTTGTAGCATCCAGCAATTAATTATTAGCTAGCATACAAATATTTCATTTTATTATATACTTTTTTTCTACCTTTATTTCCTCAAATTTTAGTTTTAAAAAAAGTCTGATATTTCTTTAAAATATATGAAATAAATGTAATCTGTCTATATGTCTTTAAAATTATAAATATTAATTTAAAAACTTTTATCTGTATACGTAAACATTTATTTTACTCGTTGTAAAAGTTTATAATATTTTTTTACTAACAAATCAATTTATGAATTTAAATTGGATATCTCTTCCTTATTATAAACGATGTTGCTATAAATTAATTATTTCGTCGTAGAAATGTATAGCAAACAACTTAGAGGATAATTGTTTTAGAGATAGATATTTGGGTCTGCTGGAAGAATTTAAAAAACAATTAATGTAAACAAGCTTGAAAAAAAAATAATAAGAAAAAAATTAGTATTTAGAACAAAGTTTTGTCTTTCTGTAGTTCCTTCAACTAATTTTTTTTATTAGTAATGCAACACATCACTATCCAAAAGCATTTATTTTGTTAAGGCATTAACTCTCTCTTTGGAAAAAAGCTATTGTTAATTTTTTGTGTTAGTATTACAATATGTTATATTTCAGGCCTAACTAAGCCTAAAAAAGAGTTGTAAGATACCATTAAAGCCTAGCTAAGCCTAAAGTAAATATATAACATACCATTAAGGCCTAGCTAAGCACAAAGGAGAGTTGTAATATACCATTAAGGCTTAGTGAAATCAAAAATAGAGCTGTAACATTCGATTAAGGCATATCCAAGCCTAAGAGAGTTGTAATTATTTTATTATTAATTAAATTATTAATTAAATTAATTAATTATTAAATTAATTTTTTACTAAATTAATTATTAAATATATGTCATCAAATTAATTAATAAGCAAATTTAAATCTTCAAACATCTTTTTTTTATTTCCCTGAAACGTAATTTCCATAAACTTTGATATTTCCTTAAAATATCTTTAATTATATGAATATAGTCCTTAAATATGTGAAAAATAAATATATTTAAATATAATAGTTATAAAATATATGTCCTTAAAATACACGAATGTCTTTAAATATGATTTTTATCAGACGCTTTTAAAACTATAAACATTAATTTAAATATTTTTATCTGCATTTATCTGCATTTATTTTACTCGTTGTAAAAGATTATAATATTTTTTACTAACGAATCTAATTTATGTATTCAAATTGAATATCTGTCCCTTATTATAAACGATGTTGATATAAATTAATTACTTCATCGTAAAAATGTTTAAGTATAGCAAACAACGTAGAAGATAATTGTTTTAGGGATAGACATTTGGGTCTGCTGGAAGAAATTAAGAAACAATCAATGTAAACAAAACTTAAAAAATTAAAAAAAGAAAACAAAACTAGCAATTAGAGTAAAGCCTCGTCTTTCCGTAGTTCTTCCAACTAATTTTATTTGATACACCTAATAATATAACACATCCACTATCTAAAAACATTTATTTTGTTAAGGCATTAACTCTCTGTTTGGGAATAGGCTATTGTTAACTTTTTTAAGTCAGTGTCACAACATGTCATATTGCAACTTTATTAATTAAATAACAAACGCTTGAATGATTTCAAAATAAATGAGCTCACTGGAATTGAATCTGGAATGTTTAGTTAATTGTGTCAGAAGAATAAGAAGATTTTCTTTATTGAAAAAAAGGCATTGTCCTATTTTTTTAAGGCGTTGACGTTATTAGGCTTGTTTATAACGAAAGTATTTTTTTAAGTGATTTCTTTTCTTAATCATATTTTTATAAACATAAAAAAATGCATAATGATTTACGGGATTCGCTAATCTATTTTAGGTTTAATATTTTTTTTAATACGAATAACTCAATTATAGAGGTTGTTGAAATTTAATTGAGTCATTGTTTTTAGTATAATATACTTAGATTATTGTCTTTTAAATTAAACTGTGCTTAAAGTGATAGAGCTCTACCATTAAAATTAGTTTACTTTTAAATTAGATAATTTTAAAATTAATTATCATGCATCCTGTACAAATAAAGGGAAAATGCTTAATCACATTTTTAAAAAAAAATTCGTTCAAAATTACATGCAAATGATTCGTTAATCTATTTTACATTTTTTTCTCTAATTTGACAATTAAGTTGCAGCAGAGTAGTGAAAAATTAATTAAGCTATCACTTTTTTAAAAAGATTATATAATTAGACTTTAAAACAATTAAAACAATTCGTTTTGTAAAACAGTGGATATATGCCTTATTTCTTTTCCTAAATCAATTAACAAGGTAATAAAAAAACAATTAACAGAAGGTTTTCCGAGATTAATAGAATTCTGAGATTAATAGAAATTAATTTAAGAAAAATTTAACTGTTATTTGTGAATGGATGAACACGAAAATAATTAAGGAAAAGCTGGAAAAATTATTTTAAGAGCTATAGTTTAATTTAGCTCTTAAGAATTTAGTTTTGCTCTTAAGCGTTTAGTTTAAATTAAGAGCTATAGTTTAGTTAGCTATCTGGATAAACGAGGTATTGCTTTCTATGCATTAAGTCAATAATGAATTATTGTTTTGTAAGTTATAGGTGTTCCGTTTCTAACTGAAGCATAAGTCAAACATTATAAATCTTATAGAGTTTTCATTATGTTTATTTTGATTATTGTCTCAACCAGATATTTTTTCATTTAATTTACCGTAAATAAATACACAAAAAAGAATGAACCTCTTGTCTAGATAGAAATTTCCTCCCTTCTTGACGCTATTTCTCTGTAAGTAAATTCGAGATGGCCACTAAATATTCCCTCGGGGCAGATAACTACATACATTCAAACTAGATCTAAAAGAAAACCTTCATAGTGATTAGCAGTTTTCCTTATACTATTTTTATATTGTGCTATTTTTCCTTTCCTTTTTTTGTTTTGAGAATTTCGATATTTAAAAATTGATGAAACATGAAAATGAAATAAAAGTAACATATATTATTAGTTTGCAAAAGCAGTATTATAACTTTCTAAAAAAACTAATGTTGCTGTCAGTTAGCTTGGATAAGAATTAATGAACTCGATGAGTGAAGAAAAACAAATAATTTGCTCAAATATTTTGATCAAAATTAATGAATTAGGCAATCGAGAAAAAATAAATAATTTACTCAAATGCCTTAATAAGACGTAATGAATTTGACGAGTGAGAGAAGACAAATAATTTTCTCGTAAATAAATCGTATTTTAATTAAAAAAGGTTTATTCTGCTTATTCTGTTTCAAGTTTTATTGAAATTCTGTCCGTCAGGAAAATGATTCATATTGTTTATTGCATTCACGCAGACACTCAACAATGATATCTTCTTTATTTGAATCTAAGCTTCATTAAATTCTATTTCATTTAAGAAATAAATAAATCAATTCTATTAAATATTCAAATCTTTCGATCCTCTTTGTAAAATGATTTGATTTGAAATATGCTTAAAGTGCTCAATGGGCTGTTAATAAATTTTACTTTAATCATGAATGGAGAAAACAATTCTGGTAAATTTGCCTTACGGT